CCTCACGCGCAGGGCCCCCCGGGGCCGGCCCCCCCCTCATCCTCCGCCTGCCGCAGCCGCTTCTTGGCGCGGATCTCGTTCATGGCCTCCTCGATGGAGCGCGTGTCCCGCTTGTTGGCCACGGGCACTGCGGGCACAGAGACACCACGGTGGCTGCCAGCGCCCCCGGCCCCCCGGGCCCCCCCGGGCGGGGACCCCCGGGCCCCCCGGGCCGGGCGGGACCCCCCGCTCACCGCAGCCGTACGCCTTGTTGGCCTCCATGGTGCGGGCGGCGGCCTTGGCGGCCTCGGAGCCAATCAGGTGCCGGTATTTGTCCTTGTAGTCGTTGGGGGGCCCCGGGGGGGCGGGGCCGGACTCAAGCTCCGCCTCCTCCTGCTGTGCCGCCAGCTCCTGCAGGTGAGCGGTCAGCAACGAGCCACGCCCACACCGCCACACCCACCCAGGCCACACCCACCCATGTAAGCCCTCCCTCCATCATCCATGCGTGCCCCACCCACTCAGGCCACACCCACCCATGTAAACCCTCCCTCCATCATCCATGCATGCCCCACCCACTCAGACCACACCCACCAATGTAAGCCCTCCCTTCATCAACCATGCATGCCCCATCCCCTCAGGCCACACCCACCAATGTAAGCCCTGCCTCCATCATCCACGCATGCCCCACCCACTCAGGCCACACCCACCAATGTAAGCCCTACCTCCATCATCCATGTGTGCCCCACCCACCCAGGCCACACCCACCAATGTAAGCCCTCCCTCCATCATCCACGCATGCCCCACCCACTCAGGCCACACCCACGTAATCCCTCCCACCATTACGCACGAGTGCCCCGCCCAGTCCCCCAAGCCCCGCCTACCCGGAGGCGGCGCCGCTCCTCGGCGCGGGCGGGGTCCCACTCCTCCCCGCGCCGGTACGCCTCCAGCTCCTCGTCGCAGGGCGCGAACTCCTGGGCACAGCGGCGTGGGCATGCGGGGGAGGCACGGGGGCGAGCGGGGAGGGGGCGCGGGGCGGCTCTCCCCCCCTCCGCACCGGCCCTCGGGGGACACCCGGACACACCGGGGGGGGGACAGGGACAGGGACAGAGCTCCCCCCGCGCCGGGGTCCCCCGCGGGGGGCTCACGAGGCCAGGCCCCGCGTCTGTAAACTCTCCACCTCCTTGTTCTGCTTCAGCTCCTCCATCCTGCCCCAGGAAAAACCAATTCGGGGAGGGGTCGGGCTCCTGGAGACCCTGCCCCCCCCCCGGCGTCACCTGTCCCCCGAAGCTCCGCTGTCCCCTCCCGGCGTCCCCCCCCCGTACCGGTGGCGGCAGCGCCGCAGGAACCTCATGATCTTCCTGGCCGCCTGGTCCTGCTTGAGGGTGAGGAAGGTGCTCCTGGGGGGGACGAGGGCACGGTGAGGACCCCTGCGGGCCGTGCCCCCGGCCCCGGAGCCCCCCGGGCCCCACCGGTGCTGGCGGAGGCTGCGGAAGCGCTGCTGGATCAGCACGGCCGCGCGCCGGCGCCGCTGGAAGCGCTTCTGCTCCGCGTAGCTGCGGAACTTGCTCTGGATCAGGATGGCGGCCTGCGTCATCCGCTGGAACAGGGCGGGCCCCCCACCCCTCAGTACCTGCTTGTACTTGCGGTAGCAGCGCTGGATGACGGCGGCCGCCAGCTCCTGCTGCTCCTTCAGCCTCCGGCCCTGGGGGCAGCGCGGGGGTCAGCGGCGCCGGGGAGCCCCCCCGGGGC